TGGGGAAGGAAGCTGGGTTCAAACTATGATTTAGAGTATAAAGACATTTTCTTTTTAACACTTAAGCCTACATAATCTGAAAAATATTTCAAGGCAAGATTACTAATTCTTCAAGTTTAGCAACAATATTGGGTCCTTTCATTGCAAGAATTTTGGTCTTATATGGAAGCAGGGGTCTGTTGTCCATCCCCCCCCCCTCTCCTAACCTTCCCTCCAGATTTACAACTGCTTTTCAGTATCATGGGCCATGTGTGGAGAAATTGTTTACTGATGCAATGATGTAAAGGGTCGAGTATGTGAGCTTAACGGTATAGGTTAGGTTATTGTGTACTTCTGAATATTATTAGTTCAAGTTGACCTTCTGATCCTGGAGTGTTCAAAATGTAGCTTCTCAAAACAGAATCAGTAATGGTGCAGGCAAGTGATAAGAATAGACGAGCTCTTCAGCTGGAGATAGGTATCAAATGTGATACTAAATTCTCGGCACTTTTTACATAGAAAAGTATAGCAACTAGACTGGAGAATTACTAACAAGCAGTTCTTTAGGATTAAGGGACTGAGGAGAGAACGGGAAAGAGAAGAAAGAAAGAAAGAAAGAGAAAAAGTTAACTACTCTGAGGAGAATTGATGGAAATGCCTTGTTGACAAAAGGGAAAATGTTAGTATCTAGATTGTAATTCACAAAGTGGCACTCTGTGTGTGTCAACCAAACTTAGCAATTGCAGAATATATGTAATTTTTGAATAATTCCCTAATTTGTAGTGTCGACATGTTAATTTTTAACGGCATATTTTTCCAATCGAAAATCGATTTAATTTGCTCCTAGTAGCTGGTATTGTAGCTTATTGATAAATCACTTGAGTCACAAGGGCATCAATTTGAGATAAATTAGGCAGCTTATGAAATTTATATATTTAAGTCAACTTAACTCATTATCATTAAGGTTAGGGGAGCGCGGAATCTTTTGCAATTTTACGAATGATTATCTGAGTTAGCAATTTAAAGTAGATCTTTGGTCTGTTGCCCTACCTTCGCCTTAAATTAATTTTGTCCAGGTTTAAATATAATATTTGAAGAAATAAAGAGAGAGGCATCACAGTCAACAAGGACGAACCTTTACTTCATTTTTCTGTTTTCTTTAATAGTGGGTTACGCCAGGGCGGAGATAGACTGGGAACCTCTCTCCGGCCTGGTTACGCCTTTGTTGGTTGGAATCACAAGTCAAAATTTATCGAGTAAAAGTACTTGTTTTAAGTTTCCTGGTGCAAATGCAGTCGACCCCTGGTGGCAGAGACCTTCAAGGGAGATTTAAGAAAGTTCAAAGTATGGGGATGAAAGAAAAAATTTTCAGAAATTAGGAAAATTATGCTAACAATTTTTTTTCTTGATGACGCATAAATTAGCACATCAAAACTAACAGTCGTTTTGTGGATTGTCAAAATATCAAGTTCGCTACAATTCAATTACATCCGATTCATTGTTTTCAACTAAAGCATTGTTTGTTGTGACTTGTTTTGACTTGTCGTCGCGTATTAAAAGACCTCACTCGAATAACACGCTGCTGACTTTTCTTCCAGTAACCAAGGATAAAATTACGTAATACTAGTTAAAAATTATACGCCGGAGGAGAGGTGAATAGTGGTGGATATCCACCATTCTCACCGACACTTGATGAAAAGTTGTTCTACTAAATGCCACGCACATACCAAAAAATAACTTAATTTCTCTGAATATACCGTAAAATGGTTGGAAACTAAGCACTTGACGTGTGGGATATACTAATAATCAAAACTATAAATTTTCGGACGTTATCACCAGCCCGAATTGAGCACCAACAGGACAGGGTGCGCGTCATGCTTGTAGTTGGAGACTTAACACGTCATGCCAGTTTAAGTGGAAAAAACGCGTCATGTGCGCATTTCTCTCTCATTTCGCCGACTTCGCTAGGTGTATGACTGATGTCTAGTTTCTTTTCCGAATTTTGCCATAGTTTTGTTTAATTGGTAACAGGACTTCGTGTCAGTAATCATTCTCGTGATAAACAAAGGGGTAAGTCTGAAGAAACTGTGGTGCTGCGTCGGTGGGAGAGTATAGCAGGTAATTTAGTGTTAACAACTGAGTTGAAAACGTAAATTGGCCACCGTAAAGGTTTTTTTTTCCTTTTTCTTTTTTATTTTATCCTTTACGGTGGCCGATTTGCGTTTTCAGGTCAGTTGTTAACACTAAATTACTCGTGTTAAACAGATCGGTTTTGTTAATCACCCTCATGATTACAGACCGAATCGAACTCCACTCGGTCCTATTACCATTATTTCTTGATAAGCCTGGTTCTCAGAGGGTCTTCTTGCGATATTCCTCGGACATGCCCGCAACGTAGCCGCGGGCACGGCCTGGGACAGCGTTACGGCAAATCATTGAACAATCATCGCCGACTAACAATCTGTCCCAGGCACTGACCGCCAGCATGAGCTTGGCTGTGAAGTCCTTCCTCGAGTGATTTATTATGGAGCATAGCAAAGACACTTTAAGACGCAGCGAGAATATAAATCG